TGAGCACTCGCTAAAGCCAAACAGCAGCAGCAGAAGCAGCAGCAATTGCTGTGGCAGCAGCAGCAACAACAACAACATCATCATCATTTCAAAGCAATTGCCAAACATGATTTAGGCTCGTCAGGCACTCAGACACTCGAACAGACTCGGACAGGCAGACAGACAGCAGCTGTTCATCTATCAATAGCTCAAGAATGTCCCGAATCAGTTTTATAAGGAGTTTGAAATACTTAACGCAGAATTGAGGAATCCAAAATTAAGTTTATTTAACTGCATAACTGGACAGTTAGCTATAGTTGGTTAGAATAGTTGTTGAGGTTTTTGTATACATGTTAAAATACATTCATTTTCAAACTACAACACTTAAGATAAATATATATTTTAATTTTTTATTTTATTCATTTATTTATATATATATATATATATATATATATATATATATTTTTTTTTTGCATATAATTTTTGGATACATCAAATGTGAAACAGCAAGCAAACCCATATCAACTAATAGCACCGAAAAAGGAAACGTAGTAAAAATTTTTATAGAAATCAACGTCAAAGTTTTTTTTTTCTATAATTCTTATAAATATAAAGATATTCTTTCATTGTTAGCTTGGCCTGTGTAAAGTAGGACTAAGATAAGTCACTATCCTATAAATAATAAATACATTTTTTGTTTGTCTGAGTTATATGAAAATACATGCAAAAATGTATTAAAAAGATCATGACTATTTATGGGGAAATAAATGTGTATACAATTATGTATATATTTCTAATCAAATATGACAGCTATAGACTTTTTCCAGCATGTTAAATTTAATATTATTTCATTTTAATATCTATCTATATTCCTATGTATTTTAATGTTTCATCTATTTTTTGAAGACTTTTTTATATTAAGCTTTGCGTTCTTGTGTTCCCTTTAAGATCTCCTTCTATTTGCCCTGGCAGCTTGTCAACTGAGCCCCTTAAAGTATGCAGCACAATCTCATCTTCTCCTTATCTTTGCGTTGTTCCCTTTCTACGCTTCTCCTCCCCGCCTCGCACTCTCTTTATGTCATTTGCTCTTTATATGCAGTGCCTTTCGTCACCCGCTGGGCATTTTGGTTGCCTTATTAAGTTGGCGCCTTGACGGCAGCTGAAAAACCTGCTCGTCGTTCCCCTGCCTCCCGGCCAAACTTTGTGCATGCCAATGATACTTACATATTTATATATATATATGTGTCTATGTATGTATATCTCATTTTCCGCCTTTTCTCTTTATTCTATTTCTTCACGATTGCAACTTCATTGTCAAAGTTGTGCAAGTCGTGAGCGCCGACCAACTGTAAAAGAATTCCACTCAAAAAAATTGCAACGCAAAAGAAACGAACGCAATGAAACGAAATGTCGCGTTGCGTCGCGTCGCTCTGAGCTGCGCTGCGTTGCGTCGCCTCGACTGCGGTATTCCAGTGGAGCGCTAATTATATGTAAATAGATCTAATGCGACTCGTGCTTAAGGTGCTACATAATTGGCCTCCATGTTGCCGGCACGACAATGGGCCCGAAGTTTAGATATCGCTACTTAAACGTAATGAAATCATTGCTTGGTGAGCTGTCACAGGAAGGAAAGAGAGAGAAAGAGCATGAAAGATATTTCAGTAGATTTTATTAGGGTATGTGTATTTTAATTAAATTCAACAACTATTTTTAAAGCATTAAAATATATACATATTATAAATTGGCAAAACAAAATAATTTAAAATGAAAAATATATATATTTTTTTGTTATTAATAATATATTATTTCTATTTTATTTAATTAAAATTAATAATTATTTCTAACTAACTAACTAAATTATATATGATATATATAAATACCACGAAGAGTAATTCAATAGGGCTTTATTAATACTTATTATTAATACCAAAATTGTATTTTTAAAAATTTCAATTTAATATTTACAAATTGTTTTCAGCTATTTATTATTTTCCCTTATGCTTATATCAGATATTGTATATGTTGACCAAAGAAAACTCTTTTGCTAAGAAGGAACTAAGTATTTTATTATTTTAATTTTTGTTAAATTATTTTCTCAAATCTTTTACATACTTTAATTTTGAAATGTTTAACAATAATTTCTATAATATGTTTATGATCTGCAATATTAAGTATATATATTTTTTATATATTTTTGTATTATTTGTTCATAAACTAAACTTGTATAACAAATAATATCAATTATCTATATACAATACAGTTTTTTTTTTTAACATATATGTATATGTAATTTGATCAAACCTAGTGCCTTAGGTTTTTTCCAGTCTAACTCCGCTAAATTTTCCCTAATCTATCTGAATGCGGGCGTTTTGCTAGTTAGTGGAAAATTAATTATCTAAGCCTTTGGCTTTTCCTTTTTTTTTTTTTTTTTTTTTTTTTTAATCAAGTGCCGCTGCAATTAGCCAATGGACCATTTGCACAAATTCCTATGCATTTAAGTCATTAGCATCCGAAAAATTTCATTACACTTTGTCGTGCGTGTTCCAAGAGAGAGCAGCATTCAAAAATTACAAAGAGTAGAAGGGCGAAACAAAAAAGCGAAACGGGGCAACGGAGAGTGAATACACTTACCAGCATGTGAAGTTAAGTAATAATAATAATAATAATAATAATAATAAAATATTTACTTCCAACAAATAGAAAAAGAAAAGAAATTGATAGCTACTTTAATTAATTAATTCACATTTACGAATAATACAACATTCCACACATCTTTTATGTCTTACATATGTACATCACAGCAAATTAATAACAACTTCCGCAAGAGTATAAGTAGAAGAGAGCAAAAAAGAAAAGAAAATGACAAAATGAAGCAGAAGGTGGTTGAGTTAGCAGCTAGAGCAGCCGAATGTGAAGAGGTATAGTGTCAGTGAGTGGGAGAGTGAGCGAGAGAGGGGTAGCCACATGAGCGACAGCAACCAACACGTACAAAACGCATAAACATTCTTGCTTAAGTGAGTTTGCACATAAATTCTCCAACTTGAGCTGCAATAGTGGAAAGCAGGAGAGTGTGAGAGCGACACGACAAAGTGGACGGGGGAAGCTTCCAACATGCTACGCAAAAGAAGAAGAAAGAAAAAAAAAAACACCCGAAATGTATTTGAGTGTTTGGGCTGGCTCCGTTTCGTTTTTCGGTTTCGGTTTTTGGTTTCAGTTTCGGTTTCGTTTGCGTTTGCATTTGCATTTGTAGTTTTATTTATGTAGCCGCAGGCGTTTGTAAAGGAAACTGGACAGCCGGTGGGAAAGAGATGAAGAGATGTGGTACTTATGCTTAAATGTTGACTCTGGGGTATGAAATGTTTATAGCCATCCGTATGCCAAAGGTAAAGTACTTTTAAATTGGAAATAATTTATTTAACTTAAAATGTAAATGCAGAAGAAATATGATATTTGTCACATTTTGCTTCGAGACATGTTGCTTAAAAGTTAATTGCATATGAAACAAAAATAGTTTATGTCATACTCTATCTATCTCTATCTCTCTCTGTCTCTTACTCGCCCAGTTTCCCACTGCGTCGACTTTGCTGAAGTGCAGCAATTACCATCATAACAGCTTTCATATTATGCAAGCGTCCGCTGGGACGCACCGACAGCAACAGCTATGCGACAGTTCTGAAGTAACTGTCAAAAAGAAGAAGAAAAGGAACACCGAAAAAATAACTTCAGAGCTACTAACTTTATTGCTTCGCGGCTTAAGAGAGCGGCAATGGTAGAACGCTTGAAAGAGCGCCAATTTAAAGAGAGCGCAACGAACACATCACTGACCTACATTAAGTGGAAATTTATTTATGCCGGCTGCCAAATTGGTTCCCCAATGCGTTGGCAGTGCCCTTATGACTATGACGGATATGATTCGCTTTCTCTTCAGCTGCTGCTGCTGCTGACTTGGCTCTGTTTACGTTGTTGTTGTTATGATTAGTATTGCAGTTGCTTTTGTTGTTGTTGTGTTATGGTTGCTTTTCTTGTTGTTGGTCATTGACTCTAATAATAATGGTTTGTAATTTGCATAAATAATGCTTGATTTTTGCATAGATGCCGTCCGCTTAGTGACATTGTGTGTGTGCGAATGTGTGTGTGAGTGTGTGCGTGAGTGCGTGTGTTTGTGTGTGAGCGTGTGTGTGTGTGTCATTTTAAATAATTAAAGGCTTTGCTATGTAACGGCTTACTTAGTTAGCCAGCTGGTAGGTGAACTCAATTATTTCGATAATTGCGCATATTTTAGTTGGGTGTAAAATTATGAGACTTTAAATATTTAAGAACTAAAATAAATATTTTAGAACTATATATAATATATGGTATACATATAAAAGCACTTAATTCCATGTCCTAATCGAATCTAAGAATCTAAGACCCTCTTAAATATGTCATATGAATTCCCATTTAGACTTATTTATATATATTTTTAGATATATAATATTTACAATATTAAAACATTTAAATTTATAACTTATTTCCACACCGATGAATTGAAAGCGAGAAAAGAAAACACGCGTTCACATGCCTTAAAAGGGCATATGGCTTTAATTGATTAATTGCTTAACCTAATTGCAGCTTAATTTGTCTAAAAAGCAAATGTCAAGCCAAAACATTTAATACTCAAAGTAAAACAATAAATTCTCGATTGGTAAACCCCAAATTACGGGCATGTCGTTCGCCTACACGACCGCAAAAGGCAAATGGTTAACAGGGCTCTGTTAATGGTTAACAGCATCGCGCTCTGTTAGCATGTATCTCTTAAGCGAAGGCTCGCTCTCTTTTGAAATGGCCGTGCGGCCACATACAGACACACACACACCGAAAAACTTCGTGGCTTGCGCTGTCGGCAACTTCGTTATTCACTTCAAACGACACGAACTTCGCGACTCTCCGGTTCGGCCAGACGATGCCATCAAACGAAAAGTAACGAAGCGCAGCGTCTGCCACTTGGTGTAATCAGTGCGTGCTGCTAAGTAAATTAGTTTAGTATGATTTTAGTGCGCAACGTTGACGGACGCGACGCTACGCGAAGCTAAGCCAAGACAAGCCAAGCGCATTTACAACAATAACGATAAACGACAATATCGCGCTCGTTGCCCACTTGTGTGTGTTCCGTACACATAATTGTGTTAGTGATTGTGTTAAGCGCGTAACGGTACTTGCATTCAATTTCAGATGTGCGTGCGAAACATTTAGACAGTGCACGCCTTAAAGTATGCAACACCAAGTAAAATGTAAGAAAATGTTGAAGAAAAAAATAAATGTTATTAAATAAATGATGTTAGTAAATAAAAAATATTAAATATTGCTAAGGAGAAGTTGAGAAATGTATTTTGTATTTTAATGATTTTTTAATACTCAAATCTTGCTAAAGCTACACTTTTACTTTAAATACTAAAGCAGCATTCTTTGCTCCTGATCTTTTCGACACTGTTTACTTTTCCAACTGCCAGACATGATTGCATTTTCTGAGCGCCCAGCGAAGCGTGCTTCATTATGGAAAAAAAAGATGATGAAGCAAAAAGCTAGAGACAATAACGAATAGAATATAGAAAAAACAAGTAAGAAAACTCTAGTCGAGAGTGCTCGACTAGATACTACCCTGAACCCAACAAATAAAAATGCCCATTTAGTATGGCTGAAATTTCAATTTCGATGTATTTAAAAATATAAATAAAATACCAAACTCATTTAATAAAATATAAAAATATTTTGAAACAATTAAAAAAAATTAACATCAGTTGCATCGATCGGGATTCGAACCGCGACTTCTCGATCGAGCGTCATGCATCTAACACACTAGGCCACCCCACTCATGCCATTGGCGCTGGCAAAACTCAAATACATTCACTGCTGCTGCGCCATCTACGAAAACTAAACGAAACTAATAGCTGATTTGATTCAACGAATGTTTCTAGAAGAAGTTTGAATGTATGTGTGCACACGCATACGATGCTGTTGTAGCTGCTGCACGTGCGTTTGTTAATTGGCCAAATATTTGATTATTTTTTATTAATTTTTGACTGAACGGAATGTAATGAAACTTTCAGCATATGATCTACATATTATATTGAATATTTGAGAAATTTAAAAAAAAGAAAAATCATTCACAATTAACTATAGTGGCACCTGATTTGAACTTGAATGTTTTTACTCGATAAAAACATAACGGGATGATTTATCGAATTATAAAAGCAAACTCGACGTCCGCGCTGTATATACGGTCATTTAAAAAAAAAAATCAAGTCTCTAGCTCTTATATCTTCGGAAATCGACGCGTTCAAACATACGGACAGACGGACAGACGGACGGACGGACAGACGGACAGACGGACAGACAGACAGACGGACAGGGCCAAATCGACTCAGCTCGTCGCCCTGATCAAGAATATATATACTTTGTGGGGTCTGCCACGCCTCCTTCTGCCTGTTACATACATTTCAACAAAACCATTATACCCTGATTTCCCATTTTCAATGGGTTCAGGGTATAAAAACGAGCATAATTTAATTGCGTTTCTATTCACCGAATGCCTTTGATAAAAACATGAATATGTTTAAATATATATGTTTTATTTATTTATTTATGTTTGTTTTGATACAATTGAGTGTAAAAGTAATATTACTTTTATATGTGATAGAAAATGAAATGTTTATTGAAAATGAAGGCATATTGAAAAACGGGAGACATTTTACGATTTAACTACAGAAATAAATTGAAAGCATACAGTTTCCAATCAAAATAGGCCAAGTTTGGGCCGTATATGTCATTTGTTTTTATTAAATTATACATATATATTTATAAGATCTGGGAGATCAGACAATATGTCTACGGAAGTGCCGATGTACTGTTGCGCTCTGCTCGGGGCTCCCGAATCGGGCAAGACGAGCTTTGCCAAGCGCCACCTAACGGGCGAGTTTGTCAAGAGCTACAGTGCCAATAAGATATATCAGACTTATTTGCTGGAATTCCACACAAGTCAGGGGGATATACGCTACACTCTTTGGAATTCCAATCAAATCGATGATTTCGACTGTCTGCATATACAGTGCGCCATCATTATGACGGATTTCAGCTGTACCCGTACATTCCAGCGTGTGCCCGTACTGCAAACAGCTATACATATACGCTATGGCAACATTCCAGTCGCCCTGTGCGCAAATAAAATGGATCTGGCCCGGAGTAACGGAATAGCATATCGCCTGATCCCGGATCAACCGAAACAGTTTGAATATTTTGAAATGTCCGTGAAGAAGAATGTGAACTGTGAGCAGCCCTTTCTATGGCTGAGTCGTCGGCTGCTCGGAAATGATCAATTGGAGTTCGTTGCCAAGCCGGCCGTCCAGCCCCCCGACATACCCCCGGCACACTGGAAGGCGGCCTTCAAGGGCCTCGCGTTGAACCAGTTGCCGCCCATTGGGGATGACGAATGGTAGTCCTCGGTGCTCCCTGCTGACTAGTGCTGCATGCTCGTGTTCTCTCACCTCACATACAAACGTACAATATATATATTTCTTTTAGTGCAACAATATAATTTAGGAGATACCTTCATTTAACACCTGTGCACACCTTTATTTTACGGTGGTTTTACTACGGTGATATATCTATTGTACTTTGAGGGTAATTTGGTGTGCTCCTACGAAGCCCATTCTGGGAATTAAATATTGGATTAGAATGGGATAAGTTTAGAGTGTTTCGCTGTTAATTTGATGTAATTGAACGGTTGACTAAAGACTGCCGATAGATACAGACGGATTACCTTGAACATCTATAGAGACTTCCTCAGTACGGATATATTATTTTATATATTATATATTATTATTTTATATATTTATGTATTATTTTATATATTATCTATACAAGAAGGATTTGCCATCATTTTTAAAAATGTTCTCTGCTTTACTTTTTGTTCTCAATTTTAGACTTTAAAATGAATATATTGCTCCGCCTTTATTATTTTATCCCTTATCAAGAATCCAGGCTGTTTTTTATTTTTATCATCGAGCATTGATCATCTCAAGAATTAACCAAGCAGCTGTCATTAATCCCCTTCCAACTATGAAATATATGGTCTTCGATATTCCGTTCTATTTATTTAATAATTTCCCAGAAATAATCATAGAAATTTCGTCGAATCATTTTTCAGTGTTTGTTGGACCTTGGCAGACAATTGAACTTGTTTCAAGTTTAATTTGAAATTGAACAAATTGTTCGATAAATATAATTAGAAATCAAATATACAATATATTAAATTATATAAAATTTATTCATTAAAATAGCATCAAATGGTTCAATAAATAATAATTAATTATTAATATATTGAATATTTGAACTAATTCTAAATTTTTGAAAATTGTGTAAGGAATATTAAAAATTAAATATTAACTATAGTTAATATTAAATTATTTAAATAACTGCTTCATCTTCACGCAGTATTTTGGGAATCCAAAAAGTTTACATAAATATAGCTAAGATAATTAATTGTTAATTGCACAACCAATGTGAAAATGTATATATTTGTATGTTTTTGAAAAAATAAAGCAAAGCATTCCGCCAATTGCCAGGTACAGTGCTGACCAGTTGAATATTACAGTTCGTTGGAATTTATAAAATTATAAAGAATTAAAATAGATTTTCTTCTTCTAAATTTTTAAAATATTTAAATGCCTTTGCTGCATCGATCTCTGGCAATAATACATGCTTGTTAATTTCATTAGAAACTATTTAAACTGCATTAAATATGGAACGTTAATTATGGGCAGCACTGTAAACAAGGCTAATGAAAAGCCGAAGCGTTTTTGCCAAAACTAACAAATAGCAGCAGTTTGTTTTAACCATATTGCACACACTCACACACATACACATACGTGCCACTGCCAGCGCCACAGGCAGCAGCGCGATGCACACGCACTTGCAATAAAACCAACATGAAATTTGGATGCATCCACTGAACGCCTCTCTCTTGTGGCACGGCCATTCAATAACCAAGCCAAAATATACGCGTCCCAGTGGCATCTGCAAAGGGGCGCAATCATTTGGCTGGTTTAGCTGCGTAGCTTGGGGAGAAAACAAAAGAGAGAGAACCTTAATGTTTATTTAATTTATTTCGAATATTTATCAAAATATTTACTCAGCATTTATACAATTTTTTCAAAATCATCAAATAAAGCCCTTAAAAAAACCCATAAACTAAGCTGAAAGGAGAAAAGAATTTTTCATATACTGAATTGCCTGCAGCTGAAGGTTTTTTAACTGAATATATTAAATACTAGATTATTAAATGAAAGCAAATAAAGCGGGATTCGATCCCATACAGAAATTATTATTTTTTTTTTTTTTATATATATTTTCAGCTGAGATTTTCCCCTATAAGAACTAAAACTTTTATTGTTATATTTAGTTGTATACCATTAAAAGTTTCAGTTATAGCTAGTATAATATTAATTTAATTAATTATGTAATAAATTTATAAATTCTTTTTAAAATACTTTTAATGAAATTATACAGTTTATAAATAATAAATTTTAGGTTTTCATTTAAAAAATTAAAATACATGTTTCAATCTAAAGAATTAACAATGATTTAAAAAATACCATTTTATATTTTTTATTATTTAAAATATTTTGTATTATTATTTGCTTAAAATGCCATTAATAGTATATAATACAATACTAAAACGAATGTTTTTTGATATTTTGTTTTTATATATATATATTTTTTTTATAATTAGTTTCGTAAAAAATATATAAATTTATATGTGTATATAAAATTCTGCTGTGTTAGTAAACTTTACTCTATATTATACGAAACTATTTCCTTCATTTACAATTTGACTAAAAATTATTTGAAAATATTTAGAAGAATATTCCTTATTGGTCAGCAGCGCAAATGTTAAAAAAAAAATATTAAAAAAAAAAACATTAAAACTTATATTCAATTATTTATTTTTTTTGTTCTAATATTTATTTATTTATTATATTAAAAACTAATTTATTGCACTATTTTAATTTAATATTGTTAAAACTCATTTATTTTTAAATTTTTTTTTTTTTTAATATTTTCTTTATTATTAAATATTAAAGTCAAATATAAATTTGGCTAAATTTATTGAAATTTAAATATAATAGAAATAGTTGCAAAACGTTAAACCACATCAAACTCTTGTGCACGCCACTGGACCACGCACACACATACACACGCAGAGAGAGTGAGAGGGAGAGAGAGAGAGAGAGCAAAAAGCCTTGGGCGTCTGTGCCTCGATGTGCGTATGCTGCAAATATGTATTTTATGCTCTTTATGTGGCTCGGCCGGCATTTTGGGTCCGGGCGCTGCTGTCCGCTAATTAGGCAATATGCACTCGATTGTGTTATAATCATTAAAACCGGAAAATGCATGGTTTTCACGCACACACACACACAGAGAGGCACACTCGCTTAGGTTTGGGGCTATTTCAGAAATATTTCACCTAAATAAAGACGATCGCTATTCGAGCAGCAATTAAAAACCGCCAACAATTTTGGTAGCTTTGCAATGGGAATTCGGCTATTGCTCATTTCCGAAATTTTTGGAGTTTTATTAAAAATTTGCATGTTACGCATGCTGAAAATAGCAGCTAACGTTTGTTGAATACTTTGTCTTGGCTAACTTTATAAGGCTAGGAACAAAAATAATAAACTCTTAATTCAATCAAATAAAATATTTTAATGATTACTTATTGAAATGTTTAGAATACTTGTATAAATTTTATTCTTATTATTATTATTATTATTCTTATATTTTGTTTTTCTGCATTTTAATTGTTTAAGTAATGTCATAAAAAAAAAGTTTTTGCTTAAACTAAATTCATTGGAGGAAATTAATAAAGAATTTATCTTTTTAACTTAACTATTAATAATTTTAGTTAAATCACAATAACACAAAAAATAATAAATTAATTAAATATTTAAAAATTTATTATTTATTACTTTTGAAAAACTCGCAAAAAATAAACTCTTTTATTAAAAAAATAGAAGAAATAAAATTGAATTAATATTTTTTTTTTTTTTTTTAATTTACATCATATTGATTATTTCAATAGATATAATTTATATATTTGCATCTTTTCAATTTGAAATAAATTCAAAACATAGACGATATTTTCGAGAGATATTTTTTTTATTACGCAAATTTTTTTTTTTTTTTTTATCTATATATATTTTTTGCTAAAATCCAAAAATATCCCTCTCAGAGCTATTTTTTTGTTTCTCCTTAATGAGAATAAATGTATGTATATATATTCATAAATTTATTCACTCTGAGTTCGTTCCATAAGCTGTGCTGTAGCTTCAAAATTAATGGATGTGATGTTTTATGTTTTATGAAAGTGTTTATAATAATCATTATGAAGATGATTGAAAAACAATCAATATAATATATGATAATTTTATTCCTTGGTGACGGAAGTGAAAAGAGAATTTGAAAGTTTTGTTGTTGTCCATAGGATCGGCAGCTTTTTCATCAGTCAACATTTTCGATTTGGAATATTTTGCATAGTCATAGTTGTTTTTTCAAAGTGATTGAAACATTGCTATTTCAAATCAAATCAATGTCCAATTAATGCTAATCTCCACAAAAATGGAAAATTTATCAAAAATCTCTGCTACTTTATGCACTACTCTTTCTCTTTACTTAAAATCTTTACTAAATTGCCAATGACTGATAAAAATTTAATAGAATTTAATTTACAGTTTAAAATTTAAAGTACAAATGTCTGCTTATACACAAAAATTACAAATATTTATATATTTTGTACATATCTGTAATATAAATTTTGAGTATATATTTTGGACATTTATCAACTTCATCATTATCAAATATATTTCTTTTGAAAGTTTTACATTTTATTAAAGTTTCATAAGCTCAGTTTCATTTGGTTTTTATACTTGTTATACTTGGCAACTAGTGCGATGGCAGATTCGCTCAAGTTATTCAGTTTTTGATTCAATTTAATATGTGTCTGGCATTTGCGAAAGTATTTCTGGTCCGTCACGTAGGCGAACTTAAAGTCAAAACTTTCGAGATGGCGAACCAAAGGCAAGGGAAAACCAACAGGAAGCGGATGTGAGCGAAAGCAAACACGTGTTGGCAAAATCTTTGCTGCAACAATGTAAACACTCGCCCACTCAAATACACACACACACACACACACACACCGAGACACACGCACACACAGAACGTCACACATACACTCCCCCTCACACAGACATACACTCAGCCTCATTGCATATGTAAACCGGCTTGTAAGCTGGCCAATTTTTTATGTATTTATGCATTTCTTGCAGCAACATTTTCACCCACTTTCTTCTGCTCTTGCTCCCGCTCCTGATCCTGCGTCGGCTTCTTCTTGGTTTCCCTGCTTTTTCTGCGTATTAAAGTTGTCGGTTGAGCCAATGCAACA